TGAGGAGCGGCCGGCACCCCAGAAGCCCGTCCGCCGGTCCCTGTCCACGCGGCAGCCCCCTCCTGCCAAAGACGCGGTGCCTTCGAACCAGCTCCACCACGCCATGCACCTCAAGGCCACCGCCTTGTCCTCTGGTGAGGCTGCGGAGAAGCCACCGGGCAGCAGAGCGGCTCTGCCAGGCCCCGAGGGGCCCCCTGGGGACGGCCAGCTCTCCCCCAGGCACAAGTCGCCGGCCTCCACCGCCAGCTTCATCTTCGCCAAGAGCTCCAAGAAGCTGGTGATGGAGATGGCCTCGTCCCCCGAGGCGCAGGCCGACCTGAAGAGGAACTTGGTGGCCGAGCTGATGAATTTCTCGGGACAGCGCTCGGCAGCCCTGGCTGCTGCCCAGCAGGGCCCCGGCAAGGTGCAAGCCCACCGAAAACCTGGCAAGATCCCCCCTCCGGTAGCCAAGAAGCCTTCGCTTGGCCCGGGGCCGGCTCCTTCCCCCCTGAGCCCAAAGGCGCCGGGGGCAGAGGCACTGGGCTCCCCCATGCCGGACGGGAAGGCCAAGGCAGTGCCGGTGGACGAGAGCAGGACTAAGAGTGAGCCGGGGGGGATGGCGGCCTCGGGGACGGAGGGCAGGAGCGCCGCGGAGCCGCCGGCTCAGAGCCTCCCTGCACAAGGTATGTGAGACGGGGGCCTGGTTCAGCCCCACCATGGGACGATGCCGCTGTAGGTGCTCGGGCTCCTGAGCTATACGCTCCTGAGCTATAGGCTCCCAGCGCAGCACACGGGCCGTGTTGGGGCTGGGGTGGCACCAGGACGGGCGGGAGAGCCTGGCCGTGGGGCCAGACTTGGGAGAGGGCCGCGGGAAGCTGGGGCTCAGGGTGGCTGACGGGTTCTTCCCTCCTGCCTTGCAGACGGACGGGGAGAGACGGCCTGAAGGATGAAGCTGCAGGACTGGTGCCCCCGCGGACAGGAATCCAAATCTCTCAGGGACCTGGGCAGGTCAACGGACGAGTGTGGAACTGGCAACTAACTTAATACAAGAAGCAAACAGCCTTAGCCTCCACGGCCTTGATGATATTTATGCAAAAATGGTGTTGGTTTCACTTTCCTAAGTACTACAGCTTTATTTTGCTTTTTTTTTTTTTTTAAACTGGACTCGAGGCCCGTGCCGTGCCCAGAGCCAGCACCTCCTCCCTGCCCGGCTGCCGCTTGGTTTGCGCGTGCGGAGCAGAGCAGCCACGCGGAGAAGAGTGCAGGGGCCAAAGACGACGGAGCTGGAGCCGCTCTGCTCCCGGCCAGCCGGGCCCGCGAGGAATCGAAGTACTTTGGACGAGGGAACAGGAAGGCTTCGGCCACGGCAGTGCCCGGGGGGGCACGGGCAGGAGCAGCGGGACGGGACAGGGGCGCTGGTTGGGTGGGACCAGGGCCTCGGCCCTTGGTGGAAAGGCAAGAGGGGGCTTTTGGCCAGCCCCGCTCGCTGGCCGCAGGGTGGAGGGGGAGCCCGGCTGCCCCGTGAGCTGGTCTTCAGGCCCTGGGCTCTGGGGTAGAGCCTCGATTTCTGTTTCTGTAAACTTGGGTCACATTTTGATTTCTTTGATTGTAAAAAAAAAAAAAACAACCAAACAACAAACCAAACCAAACCAAACCAAACGCAACCAACCCTCTGCCGCCGAGTAGCTGCTCAGAGCTCTGTACCTGGCTGGTAAAAATGATGACCGAAGCTTGCTGCCTCCTGTGCTTCCTGGCTTACGGCCACGGCCTTGCCATGCGCGGCAGCTGCCCTTCCCGGCGGCGTTGAGCTCTGGGGCAGGCACAGACCCCGAGCGGGCTAGCTGCCGGCACCGCTGCTCACACAGGGTGGGCAGAGGGCTCGGGCAGCACTAAACCACAGGAGCGGGGCTGGCTGCCAGCTCAGCCACCCCTCCCCGGACCGACAGGCACACCCGGGTGCAGTCAGCTTGACATTTTATTCGGGTTTACGACAGACAGATGGTTCCTAAGTCAGTGTTTAAGGCCCACGCCCCCCACGGCCTCAGGACAGACCCGCCGGTGCTGCCCGGGCTCCTGGCTGACGAGCAGCACCAGCAGCGGCCGCAGCCCCGGGCAGGCTGAGCTCGGAGCAGGGGGTGCCCGGGCAGAGCAGGGGACGGGGCCCGCCTGGCCGCCAGGCAGCTGCCCCCAGCTCTGTTAGCAGCAACACAGGTTTGAGCAAGCAGCCTTCCCTTTCTGCCCTCGCTGCAGCACCCGCACGTGCTGTCCCAATCGGGACCAGCGGGCGGGCGAACCCCCCAGTCCGTGGCACAACTGGGAGCGAGCCGATGGCCCCAGCGTGAAGCCTGAGGCCACGGCACAAGTCACACGGGTCCCTTAGGTGTGGTGCCACCGCCAGTCCCCCAGAGCTGGCCCGCAGCCGAGGCACGGACGCTGGTTGAGTGGGCCCAGGGCGAGGGGGATGTCGGAGGCAGGTCTCCAGGTGGGAGGCTGCAAATTCAGTCCCAGAGCCCCCGGGTCCCGCAGGGCTGAGCCCCCGGCTCGAGGCACTGGGGAGGAGATGGCAGAGACCAGGGAGGGGAGCCTGGCTGAGGTGGTGGAGGGGGCCAGGCAGGAGGCGGCAGCCGCGGCCCTGGGGCCTCGTTGATGCTCCCTCCCTTCAGGCTTTTACAGGAGACTCTCCCCAGCTTGGTCAGGAAGTTTCTCTGCTTCCACTGGGCGACACAGTCCTCGGAGACGCGGAAGTCGGCCTGGGGAGCAAAGCAGGGCAGGCAGGGTCAGGCCTGGGCTGCCAGCGGGGCAGCAGCGCCTTGCTCGGCCGGTGGGGAGGTTTGTCTCCTCCACGTCTTTGCTGACAGTAGCAAACACGAGCAGTGAGCAGCAAATAGCTAATTTGGGGTCACCCAGAGTTGGGGACAGTGGCATCTGTGTGGCCCTAAGCACTGCCCCACTCGACGCCTGGAGCCCCAGCTACTCCGAGCTGTGGCCCAGCCCCCTGATGCAGCTCCTCACCTGCAGCTTCTCAAAGACCTTCTTCTTCGGCTTGAGCTCATCGTCGGGCTCCCCGCCCTCGTAGCCCTCCACGTAGACGCGCTCCCCTGCGCAGCACCCGGCCGGCGGGTCCAGGGGCTCCACCTGCCGCGGCTCCCCCACACTGCAGAGGGGCATGGAGGAAGCAGAGTCACCCCGAGGAGGTACCCACCTGCCCGTCAGCCCCGCCGGGCTCTGGGACAGGAGAAGGGGGGTCTGAACTGCACCCCTGGAAGGGTACGGCCCTGATGCCCCCCTCCCTCACCTGGAGGCACACAGCACCATGCCCTGGGACTCCACACCCCTCATCTTCTGGGGCTTGAGGTTGCAAAGCAGCACCACCAGCCTGTCCTGCAGCTGCTCCTTGGGGACGAACTGCACCAGGCCACTGACCACGGTGCGGGGCTCAGGCTCGCCCACATCGATCTTCTCCACGTACAGGCTGGGGGCGGCTGGGGGTTGGCTGCCAGAAACAAAGAGGGGGGGAA